AAAAGGAGAAACAAGAGAGTGTTTAGTTAAGAAATAAGGAATGATCAAGAGAGTGCTTGGCTAGAGATAATTGTTTGTGAGTAGGGATGAAAAATATACCCGTACTCGTGGGTAATACCTGAGCCTGTCCTGATTTTGACGTGGAATACCTGGTTTGACCAGGTACGGGTATGAGTAAAACCCGATATATTAAATCGGGTACGGGTACGGGTATATACTTACCCGCCCCGTACTCATCCTCGTTCCCGTTCCCAATTTAATATCCACTCCCGATTTAATTATGTTCAAGAATTTTAATATTTTATTATGTGTGACTATTTATTACAATATGAGATAGAGAAACAACCTAATTATATTGTAATATAATAAAAAATAATTTAAAAATATTATATTTTTTTTACTAAAAATAAAAAAATAATTTTTGATAGGTATGAGTATACTTGATATCCAACGGGGACGGGGATGAAAATTGTATACCTGATAGGTACGGGTATGGGGACGAGGACGGGTATTATAAAACCCGTACCCGACTCGGCCGTTGCCATCCCTATTCGTGAGGTCTTCAATCTCAAATAAAATAGTTTGGTAAAAATGAACTCCTATTTATATTGAGACAAAAGAATGAAAGGAAAGTTGCAACCGTTTGATCAAAGGTAAACCATCAGATGATATCAAGAGGCTCTTCATATACTTAAGAAGTATAACTTTTTATTAAAGAAAAGACGAAAAGTCGTGACGATTCATAAAACGGTGTTAAGTGAAATAATGTTAGAAAAATTAATAAAGTTACCAAAGGAAATGACAAATTACTTAGGTTTTCTTTTATTTTTAATTTAAAATATTGAAAGTCTAGGGGCTTATATACAAGAAGTAGTTTTAGTCGAAGGGTAACCCCTCAGTTCATGATGAGGACTGGGTAAATCTAGAAGCAATTCAAAAGCATTGTTAAATATAATTAAGCAATCATTAGGCTCGCCATTAGGGCTTAAGACCAATAAGATTAGTATAAATAGTGACAAGTGATGAAGAAAAATATACTTTTACATTTATCATATTAATTACATTGACTTACCTAAGATCGAGGACTTGAAGTGTAAAATTACCGTGTACCCCTATGTAGGTACATATAATAATATTTTATGTCTATTTTTCAATTATATCATTTATTATGACATATTCTCTCTATTATTATCTAATATAAGTGTAACGACCCGCCGTGGTCCCTACACTTAGTGGAATCGCACTACTACTAGTGAACTAAGAGAAATATTAAGTTGGATAACTCATACATACAAGTATAGATAAGAATAAATAACTAAATTTCTGGTTATAAAATAAAACTCCATATATGTACAGTCATCCCAAAAATAATATTTCCTAGTGCCGGTCAAGCATAGACAAAACTGTTACCCAAAATGGTAACCCTAGCACGAGGATCAAACTCCCCGTCTCGCAGCGGTCACCTCAACTCCAAGCTAGCCCTGACCTGCTCCCATACCAAGTATGATCATCGCAGTTCCACCACATGGAAACAGAAAGGTAAGCTAGAATTCACAAATCAATCATACAAGTATAGAACAATAATCTATACTACACAATCATCCAACTGACAATCAGATTCATAGTCACACCATACACTCTATCCAATACTACTCATGCATAAAATACAATCCACCAATCATGAAGTCAAACACCACACTTCATCATATTAATAATCATGCAATAAATGCATCTCATGACAGATATCCATGCATATCAATCATCTAATGCGTCGTCACGCATACACCTAGGAGATCTCCATAACAATAGAGCTGTATAAGTGACATTCCATCCTACCGAAACCACCCCAACCGTTTTCACGCCCAATGCGCCCGCTCGGTCACAGCTAAACAGGATATATAATCCTCACTCGGGTTTACTCGGATGATGTCACTTACACAATTGGAAGTCCAGATCCACCGTCAGGTATAGCACAGCTGGGTACGGGCTTACCACGACCTTGGCATGCATTAACCAAGTCAATTGTGGAGTTCGCCCACCGACTATCCGCAAGGATCCACGCACCTTCCCGAGTACTTGGTTAAGGGAATAACCCTCGACCTCATACCCCGCTCCAACACTAGCTAAGGACTTAGAGGAGACTCACCCAACCCAGTGGCCTATCTGAGCACCACTCTCCCAAATCCAGTGGCCTCCCTGAGCACCACTCTCATATATCAGTGGCCTATCCAAGCACCACTCTCAAGAGACTCTATGTGAGCTCTTCCAGTTCGAAAATATTTTTCCTCTCCTCAAGTCCTAGGCTAGACTCATGCCATAGGCATCACATGCAATCATGCATCATACATCATAATGGTCTGCCCACTATCATGATCAACAATCATACACATGTCATAAGACATCACATGCAATAATGCATCATACATCATAAATGATCTACCCATCATTATGATCAATAAACATACTCATATGAACATATACACATGTCATATCATATTCAAACATTCATACGTATCATCACCAAGCATACATATGAATCATACTGCACTATACATCATATATCATACATACATGACTAAAATTTTAACTTTAAACATGCATAAACATCAATTTAAATCAATTATTTATAAATATATTCACGCCTGGCGTAGCCTTAGCTCGCCCAGCCTAAACCCAACCTGAGAGTCCTAAGACTCATCCACGCCCAGCGCGTTCAACTCACGCTCGATATCCTTGAAACAAAGACTTCTAAGAGTATCCACGCCTGATGCAACCAAATCACGTCTGGCCCAATATCCAACCCGAGAGCCCTAAGCTCTTCCACGCCTGGCGCGCTCAACTTGCGCCTAGCCTAATCCCAGTCAGAGAGTTCAGAAACTCTCATCCAAACCAACAAATCCAGCCACATGCAAACACAAAAACACAATGCATAGGCTCCATACAACACAAAAACAAACTCCAAATCTACATGCACCCATCCGATGCATCAATTCCACCCGAAAATCCCATTTTTTCCAAAACCTTGAAAAATGAGCGAATTCTTCGATCCAGCCATGGATCCTCAACTTTCATGCATCAATTGAATTTCTAATCTCACATGCAACTTAAATAACAAACATTCTAGCATCCATCACCTGAAGATTGGCTCAAAACAGCCAATAACTGAGAAGAAGTAGAATTCCCTTCCGAAGCTCAACCTGGAACTTCAATCCTCCCAAAGCAAGCTTCCTAATCTGAATTTCAAGAAAAGCCAGAAGGCGTTAGTGATCTAGAGGAGGAAAGGAGTCATACAGAGAAATTTGGGAGAGAAAGGAGCTCACAGACCCAGAGACCTTCTCTCTAAAACTTCTCTCTAAAAACTCACATTCTCCTGAAGGCCCCAACCCCTATTTATAGACTATTTGGATTTGCCAGAACGGCCTGTACCGATACCGGAACGGCCTGTTCTGAACTCCCTCAATACGCACAAAAATCACCTGCAGAACGGCCTATTCTGAAATCAGAACAGCCCATTCTGGAACTCATCCAGAACGGCCCGTTCTCCATCCAGAACGGCTCGTACTCCCCTCCAGAGCAGCTCGTTCTCCATCTAGAACGGCCCGTTCTCCCTCCAGAACGGCCCGTTCTCCACTACGAATTTTAGTTCAATTTAATAGCTTGGAACGGCCCGTTCCAGATTGGAAACGGCCCGTTCTGGACTACTAAATCAGTCACATTTTTTTTTTCTACGTTACAATAAGCAATAAAAAAATTAATTTCACACATTAATAAAATTAGTTAATTGCATTCAATTTTACTATTTTGATAATATTCTTTCTAAGTTGTTCTTATTAGAAATGCTTAAAGGTGTTAAATAGGTCATGACCTAACCTAACCTGATATGTTATTTTAGACCAAGCTAGCTTATCTTATATATATTTTTTCAAGCTACCATTTTTTGTCTCAACCTAACCTATATTAAGTCATTGGAACATTGGGACAAATTGGCCTAATAAAAAAATACATTTAAAAAATCAAATATATTTTTTACAATGAAAAAAATAAAATTTATAATATGATGAATTGATATTGTATATTATCATGAAACACCTAATAGCCTTACATGTATACAATTTCTTATAACTATTACATTTCCATTTATCTATCTTATTAACTAGATCAACCTTTTCATAATATTTTCATACCTCATAGATGTCAGATTATTTATTTTTCTTAGCTTTCAATATCTCGATCTTCGTCATTAATACCCTTACTCTTACTTTTATTATAGCTCCACGAGTGTGAGTCTAGTCAGTGCATATCGATATGCATAAACTTTCCATCTTAAATTAGTATTTTATTTTTATTTTAAACTCTATATTTTAATAATAATAGAATAAATTATTTTTTATAGTATAAACTAAAAAAGATATAACCATTAAGGCTAGCCTAGTGGTTGGGTGGAGGAGGGTTGGAGTAGTTAGAAAGATAAAGACCTAGGTTCAACTTTATTGCGACCATCTTTGTAATCTTTCCTAATTTTACAAATAAAAACTAAAAAAGATATTTTCACAAGTATTTAAAAATATAATTATTAACTTATTTATAACTAAATTTATTAATCTATTTAATAATGTTACCGTAAATTATATTTTTAAATAAATTAATAAATAAGACCAAACTTTTAATAAAGTGAGATCTAATTATATATATAAAAAAATTATGATAAATAATAAATTAAAAATTTACTTTTATAAAACAGGAATGACGTATATATATATCGAAAGTCGTCCGAGATATTCTATTCACATTCATAGATGGAGTGAATTCAATTATAAAATTTATTCTCTCATCGTACATTTGAATTATAAATTTTAATTTTCAAATTTTTTTCTATAAATAATATCTGTGACTGTGATATATAATTCCTAAAAAGAACTGGTTAAAAATACATGTTGGAAGTACACGTCAGGTCAGGAGCCTAAAATTCAGCGCCAAAGTGCAACAGCATGAGAGACAAATGTGATTTGGAGAGAAAGCGAGGGGGCAATGGCATGCACGTCACCACTCACCGTGTAAACTCCACCCTATAACCGCGACGGATTTTCCTCCCAAGGAAACAAATATTAATTATTATTGCAATTAAAATCAGTATTCAGTATTCAGTGTGCCATCGAACCCAGCGAAAATTCCCTTTTTAATCGCCACATTTTTTTTATATATTTTATTTTCTGCAAATTCCTTTCCTTTTCGGCCAAGAAACCGCATAATCCAGTACACGCACGCACCACCGTAGCATACGAGGTGGCATTGAACGTGTGAGTAGTGGGAACAGATTCTGTTGCGATCCACGCCTTATTCAGCGTCCTTCTTTTCCAACCGCCATATTCTTCTGGCGATTCAATTTCGAACAAAACCTACGTTTGCGTCTCTCTCTCTGTCTCTCTGTGTCCACCGTCTCTCTTTTCACGACGTGACTGGTGGCACTAACGGCGCCAGAAACGCTGCGTTTTGAGCCCCATGGGTAGCTGCCCCTGTTTCGGGTCGAGGAAGAAGAGCAAAGAGAAGAACGCCAAGGCTGGGGAAGAAGAAACCAAGATTAGCAAATCAGAGAATATTGATGTCCTTCGAGCATCTTCAGGTTACCTTCTTACACTTTGTTTAGTTTTATTTTTTTTTAAATTCTGTCTTTGAAAAAAATTAATATTATAATTTGCAAGTTTTTTTTTTCCTGCCAATTTTTAATTGGGTTTAGGTTTTAAGTCAAGGTTATATAGAGGAACTTTAGAGGAAAGTAAGGGTCTTGGTTGTTGTTATTATCTTGGGGTTAGTTCTTATTTGAAAATTGAAATTCAGACTTAAAGTGCGCACCTTAGTAGTTTAGTACCTTACCCAAAAATTAATTAAGAAAAAACAATTCAAATTTGATAACTTAATGTTATATACATTCTTCCCTGAGTCTTGACATACTGACTGGTAGACTTGCCCTGCACTGTGCAATGGGAGATTTTGACCAATATTCATTGTGAGTGATCTCATTCTTGTGTGGTTAAACTGATAAAGAGGGCACCACTGTGCTAGTTATTCTGTGTCAGAAGAATATGGCGCTTGCCTTTGTTGTATAGAACCTCATGAACATTTTCAAAGCATATGCTGCAATCTGAAATTAAATTAATTAGAGTTTGTTTGAATACAGACTTATAAACTTTTTCTAGAACTTATCTATTGAAAATAAGAAAAGAATTCTTGTAAATAAACTCTCAGAAACTCTTTTAAGTTTATGTTCAAATAGACTACGAAATATGTTAGGCAAAGGGCTCATATCCCTTTTTATAGAGACAACCGTAGAAAATCACGGCATTGCCAAAGGACTTTAAAATAATCATAGGTGAATTCATTGATTTTTGAATGGCCATAGTGTCATAGTCATTCTTTGACACGACAATTGCTCAAAGTAATCATATGTGCTGCACGTATTACAACTTATATGCTGAAGAGCAGCTATCCTAATTCGTTTTGCATAATTTTGACCCAAGAAAATTTAAAATAAATTTCCAATTTAAAGACAAGATGTTATATCTTTTAAATTTGTCTTCAGTTCTAATTATTTAGAGATTTTCACTTTTTTACAAGAAGTTAATATTTTGCTTCCAAAACTCGACATTCACCACCTAGATATGTGCACGCATTATATATTAGACCAAAATACATGATAATTATTCCAACATTCTACATTAGATGTAGAACATCAATTATCTGTTATATAGTTATCTTTGAAATGGAGTAATATGTAATACCATGGGTAGACTTTGGTTGCAGCAGTGGTGTAAATCATTTTTATGCTCACAGCAGTTTCAACATTACCTGTTCCTTTTGGTTGCTTAGTTTACCTGTTCATGTAACCAACCTCACTTAGCAGTATAAGTAGCTTTTGTTGCTTTTATTGTTGATGTTGAGTTTACCAGTTCATCTTCCACTATCCCACTGGACAAAGGGTCTTCTGAAACAATCATCTACTTATACATTTAATCAAATGCTTTGACTTTCTGTTACTAAAAGTGTTAAACTTAGTTTGTCCTCTCTTGGCTCTTGACAGTTTTAATCCAGAAACACTTAAAATTCTAGAGACAGGGTAAATGACAACGTAAAATGAAAGGGATGGACACCATAATTCTGAATTAATCTTAAGTGAAGCTACACACAATCACCAATCCCTGCTTGCTAAAGTTTTGGCCTTAGACCGATGGAAGCCATTTATCATGTTGATCTCTTGGCTTCTAAGATATGTTTGTTAAACTCCCGAATGCTTGAGAAGTTGTGATAATAGTATTCACGAAGGTTATATAATCAACTTAGACCATATATGCAGAGGGATATAAACTGTAATGAGCTGATGTTTTCTCAAGTAATATCTTTTTTCATTTTTGGCTTGTTTTTGAAGGGGGTCTTTTCCCTATTTTTTGTTTCTCCTTTTCTCTTTTATGAAGTGTTCTTTTATATAAAAAAAAAAATGTTGCGATAGTTTTAAAAGTTGAATGTCATTTAATCGTTATTGCTGGCTTGTGTCATGGAGGGGATCACAAGTGAAGATCTCTAAACTTTACTCTTATACTCAAGTTATCATGAATTGGTTTGATACAGATCTTAGACCAGAAGATGACCCAACAGAGGAGGGTGACAACTCTAAAAAGGCTCAGATATTTACCTTCCGAGAGCTTGCAACAGCAACAAAAAATTTTAGGGATGAAACCTTTATTGGCCAAGGTGGATTTGGCATTGTTTACAAAGGAACGATAGCAAAAATAAATCAGGTAAAACTTGATGGGTGGATTTTTTTGTGTGTGCCTGTTTCTTGTTTTACAAAACTCTTCAATATGTTACATTACTGTGCAATATAACTCCTTTAACAAGATGGGGATTCGATCAGGTTGTAGCTGTTAAGAGACTTGATACTACCGGTGTTCAAGGGGAGAAAGAATTTCTGGTGGAAGTTCTCATGCTTTCTCTTCTACGCCATTCCAACCTTGTTAATATGATTGGTTACTGTGCTGAAGGGGATCAACGTCTTCTAGTGTATGAGTACATGCCTTTGGGATCTTTGGAATCTCATCTTCATGGTATATAGCATACTATATTGTAACATTTACTTTCTTCAGTGCCAAATAGCTATCAGTTACTTACTAGTTACTCCATCTATCAATACTGCTTTAGTCTCCTCCCCATGTGAAAATTGAAAGAAATTATGTAAAGGCATAGTTTACTTGAAAGGATGAAATAATATACTATTCATAAAGTTTACATAAGTCAATTTAAAGGATCTGGCGATCCGCAGACATAAATAATTTCAAAACCTAATTTCACTACTAAATTTAGATCTATATTTAGTTCCACTCCACATTTTTTTTAGGGCAGACGGGTCATGAATCATGATTAGTTGGGATGAAGAGGGATTAATTAGTTTAATAATGCCATATTTTAATTTTGTACCACATTTTAATGCTGTATAACTATAATGTAAGTTATGTAACTACTACTGTGACTTTTCTGTGCTTGACGTGCTTCTTTATTCACCAAAAGTACATTTAGACCTTTTCTCAATCATAAGGCCAACCTCTCTGCTTCAAAGTAGCTGTGACCTTAGTTGTTACTTGTTAGTATTGCAAGATTCGCAATTCAAATCACATGATTCTATATGCTTTGGAAAGCCAGCTATTTGTATGATGTGATGTGTTACAAATGACTTTGAATCATTTGACACATGAATGATTTTAGTGATTCTTTTATTTTATTATTTTGATTTTCTTTCACCTATTCTCGCCAAAATAAAAAAAGAAAGCTAAGGACCTATTTTCTCCTATTTTCATTTTCTATTTTCACTTTTAATTTACAAAACTGCCAATTCATTTTCAATTCATTTCCTATTTTCTGATATTTGTCTAAGAAACATTGAATCAAACTATTTTTTTTCTTCTTGTTCCTGTACAAATATGTGAAAACAGAAACAATTGAAAATAAGCTGGGAGTTTTATAAATTAAAAGTGAAAACAGAAGTAAATTGGGCCCTTAAATTGTGAAATATAAAGGCACCGGAGGAACACTACTGAATGCACCCTATTTGATTATTTCACTGTTCCTTTGCTATACTCTCATTCCTCTGAAAGCCTCAAACACTTGGTTATAGCTGACGGTTTTGTTTTGTAACTTGGAGACAGAGTTGAGATGTTTAGTTAAGTTCTAGTTTAAGATTATCATATTGAGTACAATACATCATTTGAATGATTTATTTCAAGGATTTTCTGTGCATTGTGTCTTTAATAATTTGTTCATGGCTATTTGCAGATATTCCACCTGATGAAGACCCACTTGATTGGAATACCAGAATGATGATAGCTTGTGGAGCAGCAAAAGGACTAAATTATCTTCACAATGAAGCAAAGCCTTCTGTTATATACAGGGATCTAAAATCATCCAACATACTGTTGGATGAAGCTTTCTTTCCAAAACTTTCTGATTTTGGGCTTGCAAAATTTGGTCCAACTGGAGATCAATCATATGTTGCCACTAGGGTCATGGGAACACAAGGTTACTGTGCCCCTGAATATGCCACTAGTGGAAAATTAACAATGAGATCTGACATTTACAGTTTTGGGGTTGTGTTGTTAGAAATAATTACTGGACGCAGAGCATATGATGATAACCGTGACACTGAAAAGCATCTTGTAGACTGGGTAAATTCCTGTATTTATTATATTTTGCTCCTTTTCTGGCCCATGATGAATAACATAGTTCTACTCTCTCTTTTTCAAGTTCAATAACATATATATTATTCTAAATGTATCAGATTTGCTGCAACTTTTGCATTTCTTCCCTGGTCTCAGTGGAATGCTATGTTTACTACTCTTGGTTTATTCTAATTTTTATTATGTACTTGAAAGAGGTAGAAGCTTAATTAATAATTTTCTGTTGTTGATCTGAGTGTGCTGGTCTGTGTATGTTGAAGAAAGGAATCATAACATCCTTATAATATTTACAATTCCAGTTTGCTGCATATTATCCAGGGAATATTATTGCATTGCTTGTTCTGCTTACGTGGTCTAACCCTAGTTTCAGAATATTACATGATCTTTATGCTTAAAATCCAATTGGGATAAATGTTATCCGAAGTCTTAATTTTGAGAAGATAATATAAGCTTATCGTTCTTCAAGAAATCATTACTATACATAACCGTTGTCAACTGGTATGCATAGTCATAAGTTGTTGCAGCTTGACAAATACAGTCAAGGTTATTTTTCTAGCTACAATTTTAAGCTTGGTTTCTTAATGTCTATAGGCACGCCCAATGTTTAGAGACAAAAAGTATTTTCCAAGATTGGCAGATCCAAGGTTGAAAGGTCACTACTCAGGATCTTATCTATCAATGGCCGTTGAATTGACAGCCATGTGTCTTCGAGAAGAGCCACGTCATCGACCTAATGCAAGTGATATAGTGGAAGCTCTAGAGTTCTTGTCATCCAAACAATATACCCCAAAAAAGTCCAACACAACAGAGATAGCGGGTGGAGAATCCCCAACCGAAATATCTGCCATTTTGCCTAAAGAATCACAAAGAGAGCGAGCTGTTGCTGAGGCTAAGCTGTGGGGGGAGACATGGAGGCAGAGACGACAAAGTGAGCAAAGTAGTCCAGAGGAAGCAAATAGGTAGTGAAATAGACTTTATATTCTCTTCTTTACTACATGCATCATGGATACCAAAGAAGATTCAACATACTTGAAGTGCAGGAGGAAGAAGAAAGAAGACCTATGATGCAGATTAGAAGTGGCTGGTGTCTAAAAAGGTATAGGGAAAGTAAAGAAACTTTCAAAGATAATGTGATCAAGATTTAAATGTAGCTAAATAAAATTAGTTGGCCAGCTATTTTTAAAAAGTGCTGTTTAGGCACTTGGGAACCTGAAGCTCAACTTCACATGCTTTGACATGAGTTTTCAGATTTTATGGTTGCTCTAGCTTTGCTGCATTGAAAAATATGATAAAATACCAGTACTTCTAGTTCTATGTTCTATAACATACTTATATTGCTGGAGCTTGGAAGCACACACATTTTTGTTTTAACAGAAAATAAATAGCAAATTGGTTGGTTTTCTTGTAAATGCCTAACAAGCTTCTAGTGGAATATTGGACATGTTTAGTATAGAGCAGACATCTCACACTCAGGCACGTATATCGCTGCTGTTAACTGTTCGGTAGTCTTTACAGAAATTTAGATATATTATACAGTTCATAGTTAGACATATATGAGCATTTTAAACATGCCTCATTCAATCTTACAAATGCAAAGGGTTGACCGTTTAAAACAGGTATTGCTTAAAATTTGTGTTCTTTTTCATGCATCTTTACCACTTCTTGACAGTTGGGATGTAAATTACGCCCCTTCGTTGATTAATATATTCAAATTATGATTGTTATCATCATCATCTGAGTGTTTAATGACACTAGTTGAGAAGACTTTATTACTTAATAAATATTTTTAATTACGTTAAAAGTGTAAAATAATTTTTAGTTTTATAATATAATAAATATTTTTTAATATTATTGAATATTTTTATTTTGATTATTGGATTTTGTTCTCACTCATTTCCGGGTTGCAGAAAGAGCTCTACAAGTTAAGATCGGGACAGGTATGCATACCATAAAAGCACGTCGAGTTTATGGTATGAATTCTAGTGAATTGGCTTTTGTTTCTATTTGGGAGATATATTCTCTCTTTTTTTTAGAGTGGAATATATATTACTTGAAAGTGTAGCAAGTCAAAAATATACAGAGCAAAAACAAATAAAATAGTTATAAATGTTAATACTTGTAAATTGTAAATTTATTCTACACGTTATATACTGAAGTTGAAAAAAAAACATGGACTCTCCCTTAAGTCACCATGAAATATTAATTTTCATTAACAAAAATATTTTATAAATAGCTTAGTGAGAGTACAATTGTGTCCAATTTCTTCAAGAGTATAGATAATAATGGATAAAGTTTTGATAGAATACTATAATAATTATTTTCATACTCGTATTTGAAGAAAAATATCTATTCATTTTTATATTTAAGCATATAACAACTTTAATCTTCATTTTCGTATTTGTTTGATACTTATGTTTGCATTTTTTTAATTGCTTGGCACCATCTTTGGTTTTGGTAGAAGTTGGCCCAAAAACTTTTCTATATTATGTCAACCTCTTCAAATTTCTTAACACAAGTATCTCTAAGGTTAAGGGAATGATGGAAGATCTTTTACAGATTCAATCTTCTCTTGAAGGAGCGTTCATTCAAATAGGAGGTGAAGGTGAAGAAAATCAAAAATGGAAGAGAAGGAGATGGAGGCATCACTTCTTGAAGAATACAAGCCTAAATGTTGCTTTGCCATAAAAGTTCCTTAGTGAGAGTGCTATTGGAGTCATACTTGAGAGAGAATTCAAGAGACTTTTGAGAGAAAAATTGAAATTTTCATTCAACAATTCATCAAAAGTGATTAAAAGAGGTGAGAAGGAGACTTATGTGGATTGGTTTGTGATGCAAGCTAACCAAATCACAATCAAATTGACCATAGTTAGGTTAGCTTGTAGGGCAAGTTGACTTAACTCTAGTTAGCCTACCTAACCATAATTTAGTAATCCTAAACATAGTTTACATCTTCCCTCAATCAAGTCTAGATATATTAGTTATGAAGAAAGTGTCACTAAGCATGGAAAGTATGAAGGGATGTGGAAGTAACAAGGAAAGTGAGATAATAGTCACATGGGATATATGATTGAGTGTGACAAGGGTGATGGGGCGTGGGAGTAAGAAAGGAGGTTGAGGTAGTAATCCCACAAGAAACATGATAAAGCATGGAAGGTGTGACTTAGTGGGGTGTGTGTAGCACAAGGCAGGGTGCAAATAAGCACCAAGGGAATGCCACTCCTTACTAGTTATATCTTCCATTTACAAAATACACGTCTCCTAATTACAAAATGCACTCCAAAAGTAGTATACATAATTAACTCTACACTAATTGCATCTTCATTTGGGCTCACATAAGTTCAATTTTCTATTTATAAAATAAACCTCCAACTACAAAATGCACTATCAAAGTAATATACAAAATTACCCTACACCAATGACCCATAATACAAAATCAAATATAAGTCAAAGACGATATAAGACAGAAATAGACTAAGTATTAATGATCCTAAAGTTCAATATGAGTTAAAGTCTTCCTTCACTTCTAACTCATTCCTTTTGGATTTTTTTATATGACCCTTGAACATGATTTCATCATGGAGTTTACCCACTTCCTCCTGTTATACTTCAATAATATTTTTCAAAACAATGCACTTACTATTTTTGTTTGGTATGGTGCAACCTTTCAATGATTTGTTTGTATTTTAAGTCTTAAATTATCTTATATTTAAAATCTCTTTGAAAAGTTCTAATTTTTATTTTCATTTTTTATTTTAAATCATAAAAACAAATGTGTTCCTTCTCGGTGTGAGTTTATGGAATGTGTGAAGAAAATAGTTTGTTATAGGGTTGTTTAAGGCTATTTTATGATCCACAATTTTTCATGTTATGTTTGGACATATTTATGTTTTTGTTGTGTTGAAATGTCACTCTTGTTACCCAAAAAAATATTTGATGAAATTTTGGGATTTTTGGGGTTATGTGATGCATCAAATGTCTTAACATACCTAAAATATTTAAGAAAATTTAAATAAAATTTTGAAGTGATGATCTCTTCGCTATGGAGATGGAATAATTTGTTTGGTCACTGAATAAATCGTAGAACATGAAGAAAGTTAAAGTAATGGACCAATTCTTGAAAATTTAATTACAAACTAGCGCATAGGAACCCTAATTCATCAAATTTAATTAAGTATAAATACAAACAAGGATTTGTCACTAATATTTCACATAATTACAGTGGGTTAAACTAAAAGTTAGTTTTGTGATTAAACTTTATTTAGAGAACTTGCAATAATTTTACAGAGTATACAAAATGTAGACCAATATAGGCTAGTTTTCAATCAAAAACTAACGTAAGAATTTTAAAAACTAACTAAAAATATGAAATTAACTAACGTATGAATTTTTAAAACTAACATGATTAAAAAAACATAAAACTCACGTAAGAATTTAAAAAATTATTAACAAAATATAAAACTAAGATAAGTTGCAAGTTATATAATATGTAGCTCTTCCTAACTTACATAATTCCTCATCTTTATTATGATAAAAATCAATTGTTTCGGTAATATTGATAATTTGATTTTTATATTATAAATTTATTTATATAAATTATATTGTTAATAATATAATATGTACATTAATTTTTTTATTAGATTATATAGATAAATAAGTTGTCATAAACTTTTTTACAAGTAGGTATGATAAATAAACTCATATTTGTGAGTACCGATCCTAATCCATTTTGACGGAAAAAAATTTATTTTGACTAGGTATAGATTTATCTCGAATTGGAAAATCTAGTTTGGATATTTAAGTCTTTGATCTATATCTAGGGATGTCAAAAAAATTTGTACCCGTGAATATCCATGGATAAACTCTATTAAGTAGAAGATGAATATTGATGGGTACTTGTAAGTAAGGAGTTTGAGTATTTTTTATATCCGCATGTTAACGAAAAGATATGAGTATCATAATATACATCCTCACGAGTAGTCACTAATATTTAATTACATAATTATATATTAAATTTGATTAAACTCGTGGAAATAAAGTACTTTGAAAATCAAATTTAGTTTTTAAATTAAAGAATTTTAATTAATAAAATTGTGTATAATATTTGAATAATTTAAGTTTTGACTTTTAAACTATTATTTTTAATTAAAAAAAATAGAAATTATTATTAATATGATTTTTAAAAATATTTTAAAAAATAAATATTCACAAATATCTGTGAATACTCATAGATATTATAAAAATATGTGAATACCTATTTAATAGATATCTGGAAACAGATACAGGTAGATAGAAAGGAGTTACTACCCGTATTCGCCCTAGTTCCACCTTATTGACATCCCTATCCATACTTGTTTTGCTAATTTTATTTGTGTGTGTATGCTTGCGTGTGAAATTTTTTTATTTGTAAGTTATTTTTTTTATTATTTTATATATTATTTATGTTATAATATAATTATTTACTTAAAATTTAATTTATTTAAAATATATAAATAAATTAAAATTATTAAAAAAATGTGATGTCTTCCTCATAAATTTATTTAAACTCAACAAAATTTGACAGGATAAAAATAAATTTTAAAAATATAAATTTATTTTTTAAAAAAATTTAAACCGAAACTCATCTCACTTTTTATGAGAGGTCAGGATGGAAGACTAGAACTTACCAACTATCATCCTTATTTATAAGTCAAAGTGTAGACCTTTTTAAATAATCAGAGGATTGAATTATTTTGTTGATGTTTCGGTAATAAGTTTCTAAACCTATTATTGCTGATATTGATTTTTAATTGAATGAGCCAAAACACTCCAAAGAGGTGTTTTGTTGTACCATAATTTGTTTCATGCCTAAAGATTAAGATTACCGAAAATTGTGAATATAAGAATTACGATTCTTAATAATACTAAAATGCATTCGATTAATCATAAATAGTTTTAGGAATAATTATGTGTTATATAATAATCAAATATTTTTACTAAATTAAACTAACAAATAAAGATAATATAATATTTTATTATAATAATTTTTTTGTTCAAAAAAATTAAATTATCACCTCATAAAATAGTTTTGTATAAAACCTATATAAAAATAATAGTTATGAAGAATGATATTTTTCTTAGAAGAATAAACCAAAGAAAATTATGTGGTTGTTTATTGTTTTCTATTTCCATTTTCAAAAAAAATAAAACAATGGTATTATAATATGTTTGTTCAAATTGTTGAAAATATTTTTTTTAGAAAACATTTTTAAAAATAAGTGAAAAACTCAAAAGGAAAAAATATGTTATTTTCAAATTTTTGACAAATTCTACGGTGGTCTAGAAAGATAAGTGGTCTATCATAAACCATATTTTCTTTTAATCTAGATCATTAGATTTTATGGTTGCATGAGATGTAACAGAACTTTTTTACCAAATTTTTTCTCTCTTTCTCCATTTTCAATCCTTTCCTCATTGTAGTCTCTAACCCCTCTTTGCAATTGATAAGCTTCTCCAACAAGGCCATGTAATATCCCATATTTTCTTAATAAATTATTAGATATTTTTAATTAATTAATTAAGTAATATTATATTTTGAGTGATATTTTTTAAAATAATAAAAAGTATAATTTGCTTGTTTATTTTCAAAATAGTGAGGAATAATTAATTGGGCTTTTTGTCAACAAGTTATGCATGGATTAGGGCTAGCATTTATTATAAATGCGTTAATAAGATCAGGGTTGTCTAACTTTACAAAATCTAACATGGGCATCTTGTGATCTAAAGAGAAAAGAGAACTAGAGGCAATAGGAGAGGACCTTAGAGATCCAAACCAAGAATTTACATCCATCAAGGTAAAGAGGAGTGACAGCCTCGCTTCGGGTGTGGGTTGTAACGACCCGTCATGGCCGTCACACTACGCAACACACAACTAGCTGTGCATATACATATACTAAAACAATAATATAATAAGAAATCTGCATCTCATGAATATGTACAACTATGTTGCTTGTCCAACAACTGTATACAAATATCTACACAAAAGCATCTACCAACAACTAGTAGACTACAAAATAAAATCCAACTCCAAGCACTACCTGTGGCTCCACTTCTACTCTCCAGCCTATCCCTACTCTACTCTCATACAACGTATGATCATCGCAGTCCAAACCATATGAAAACATATAAGGGTAAGCTAGGTAAAATAAACAACTCATAAAATTGAGTATGCCACACATCAACACATAAATTCATTTTCACATTCAACACAAGCAACAAACAACACATATACTACACATCTTAACACCATTTCAACAATACAACATAAACATTGTATCAACACATCAACACATATGCGTCGTCACGCATTTCAACTCGAAGATCTCCTACAACACAAGGTGAGCAGTCTAAGTGGCTAGGTCCTACCAAACCGACAACACAAAACATTTTTGGGCTTGTTAGGTAAACAAAAAATTTGGATAAAAATCCACAACACGATAACGGTTTCTCAGACTTTGCCACTTAAACAAGGAAGTATAGTACTATGTCAAGACAAGATAGCTGGGTTTAGGCCTACCACGACATTAGCTAGCTTAACTAAGCTACCTATGGGATTAGCCTACTGACTATCCTCCAAATACTACAACCTTCCGATACTCGGTAAAAAACTAAGTTCCCGACTTCGTACTTTACTCAAATTGGTCGCTTGTAATCAGTATAGCTCGACCTAGCCCCTATACCGTGGTCACTTTGTACATGTGTGCCTTGACCTTACCCACACACAGGATCAACTAGGTCCTAGAGGAGAACAACACAACATCTACTCTAAAGGACAACTTCCTGAAGAGGGTTTTTCAACAAATTGGGCTCTCAAAGCACCACAACTATCTCAATCCGCACAATGGGATGAGCAACTTCAAAAACTTTTCCTCCTGTCCTAGGGATTAGCAACTCATCATCCCAATCAACTTTCAACTTAAACAACATAGTCAACTCATAACTTTAACAACACAATTTATCAACACAGCAACTTTTCAAC